GAGGCTTCGTCCAAGCAGGCGCAGTGTCCGAGGACAGCACATGTGGAAGTTGGTGGTCGGAGGAAATGCGATGAACATGACCTAACCGATGTAGATGAAACAGACGTAATGGAGCGGCACCGATTGGATGTTTCGGAACAAAGGCCGTTGAACTCAATGGTTCACAGAGATGTGAACATGCTTCGTAACCCCAATTGGCACGACGGCAACCAGTCTTACAACGTCCTCTACGTGAAGACGGCATGTCTCGTTGCACATACTAATTTCTAACCATGAAAGAATGTCATACCGTCTCAAACGGCAACTGAGGTCCAAAAAATCTCACCAGCAATCCGCGTGTTGCAGAAATCTGTATGGAGTTGAAGCGAACAGAGATGAAGAAGCTAAACGAACAAACCTCAATCGACAATTGAAAAAGCTAGAACCATGTTCGCCAAGTTTTGTGACAAAACACGGCAAGGCGTGCGGTAATCGCTGTTAATTTACCATGTAGCCTTTGTATAAAAGATGGTGTTCGGGAAAAGGCAAGAACTTCACGGAAATGCTATTATTTCAACGATTAATCGATTGCTACCGATTATCGCAACAATTTCAAAAACCACGAAATGTACCGAGACTCGCATGTGAATGCCAACCTCTTGACGATTGGCTGCATCGGTGTGGCACTGCTAATTTTCCGGCTGACCTTGTTATGCTAGGTCATGAAGTGACCTACAAATACGAACAAGGTCTGTTTCATTTGTACAGTGTGTTTGGCGGCGGTTAACGCGTTATTCTGCCAAGGTCATTTGCTTTTCGATTCTTAAGTCGGTAGGGCTAGAGGTCTTGTGGAGCAGTAAAGCGCAGATTTCCGAGTCGCGACAAGTGGAAAGAGTATAACAAATGGCGACGGATTTTCTAGGTAAACGATTCCAGAAGATGCTTCTCCAACAGCAATCTCGAATGGAGGCTCAAATGAAAGTGATAGAGAAATTGGCGCATTGCATGAACCTGCAGTCTACATGAGCAGCGATGCGAGACACGCAGGCGAATTCTGTTGATATTATCACGAAGCTTACCAGTGAAGTTAACAATGACGCGGACTCGGCGTGCACTTTCGGAGCGTGATCCAAATGTCGCGAAGACAGACTCTGGACCCACTTCAGTCGTCAGGACGATTCCTGGAAAGTGCGATTACTACTCCGCATGTTCGACACAAACGAACAAACAAGGTTTACTGACCACATTTTGTCCAAACAGCTGAAGCACCCGACGTTCCACGAAGCAGTTTCGCAGCGCAATGTGATTTTTAGTGAGTCGTTGTTCAATATTCGCTATTAATGGCTTAGAACTGTCAGACAGAAAACGGACGATTTTGGGGCATTAGAAGATATGGTCAGTCCTGCGGCTTTAAACATTTCAAGCTACGCTCGTTAAAAGATGATCAGTTTAAGTGTCTCTTTTTCCTCAATGCTCTACAGTCTCCTCGTGATGCTGAGATTCGCACGCGCCTTTGGTTAATCTGGATCAGGATCAAGATCTGACACTGAAGTCCCTCGTAAACAAATGCAAACGCCTGCTAAAATTGAAGCACGACACTGCCCTTATCGGACAGAGTCGACCCGCACAACCCTATACAAAGCAAACTGTTCAAGAGGGTCCCGAACAAACCACTTACAGCATGCACCTCATGTGGCTAATCCCACTTTACATGTCTTCGCCCACTCAAACGTCATACTTGCAAAAAGCACCGGACACAGCCCGCATACTTGCTCAGATGCATCTCAGAAAGCAATCGTTCATGCCGCCAGGACGTGAACAGAGGCTGGAAGAAACTACAGCCGGATCGAGGAAGAAACATTGGCCATAGAGTCTACTGTGAAGGAATTCCATAAGATGCTGTAGGACCTCCGCTTCAAACTTTCGACAGATCACAAGTCCTTACTGACTATCGTTAGTTGGAGAAGGGTATTCAGACGCTAAGCACTCAGTGTGCTACAAAGAGGGGCTCTCATTCTAATGAGATGATTTCGAGATGCACTACAAGTCAACAATTTTCATGGGTCAAGCGGATGTACTGGCACGCTTAGTTGATGCCCATTAGCAAGAACATCAGGACACAGTCAGCGCCTCGGTCGAGGTCAAAACTGACGTCATGTTCCTGATGAAGGACGCGTGGCATGAGCGACCAGTTACCACAGAAGCTATACGAAGAGAAATATTTCGGGACCCAGTACTCAAGAAGATCACACAGTTCTAAAGAACCAGCTGGCCACCTTCATGTTCCCCAGTCTAACTGCAGCAGTACTACCAAAGGAGATATGCACTCACCACTGTGGACGACTGCATAATAGTTATGGACAGATTTGTCCTCCCGAAGACCCTACAAGAGCGTGTAATTCGACAGTTCCATTTCGAGCATCCTGCGATCAACCGGATGAAGGCGCGTGCCCGTAGCTGTGTACTGGTCTTTATGAACAAACAGCTGGAATGACTAGCTAAAGGCTGACAAAATGTATCTGCGTCCTAAAAACGCCACAAAAAGCGGTGCTCCATTCATGGATAAAACTCACGAAACCATGATGCCGTATCCATGTCGACTTCGTAGGACCGATGAACGACGGAAGTTTCCTCATCGTAATCGACTGCTACAGAACATGGCCTAGTCTTACTCATGGACAGCACAACAACCAATACCAATGTATCAAGACCGCGAAAACATTTAGCAGGTACGGCACGCATTCCACCCGGCAACTTGTACAGCGTTCTACAAGCAATGCACCGTACAGCACACAAGCTCACCACCGTTTCACCCAAAGTCGAATGGCCAGACAGAGGTTCGTGGGTACCTTCGAGCGAGCTCTCCTCAAATCAATGGAGGTGATCGACCGGTTCCTCTTCCTTAACCGGCCAACACTGATTCCTCAAACACCAACACAGGCTATGATGAACACAATGTTCCGTATGCCATCCGACCGGGCTCAGAGCCCTCGGTTGTTGAAAGGAAACGTAGAATGAAACAGCGTGTTAAAAAGGCGGCATGGAGCAAAGCAACCATCGTTCGCGTCGGGAGAGACGGCGTTAGCAGGTGACTATCGGAAAGACCACGTGAAGTGGACGCCCGGCACTATCAAAAACAAGCACAGAAATGTCATGTGTAACCTGATCGTGGGAACGCAGATATGAGCCCGCCATGTAAACTAGCTATGGTCAACACTGTGCCAACCAGAAGAAGCAAAGCATGCCAATCTCTCGTTTAACTTGTTGGTGGAAAGCTACAGGTTACCAAAAAAGCCCATAGATGTCTGCTGTCAGTCGAGCAAGGAAACCAGAACATAGAATCCAGCCAAAGAAATAGACCGAAAGACAAAGAACATCGTCAAGAAGGCCACAGGTCAATCCTACTTTCATCATACACCACTGACGTCTTCTCAGGAAGCGAGGTGTCAGGAGAAAGGCAAGAAATTCCCGGAAAAGCTATTATTTCCACGATTAATCCATGGTTACCGATTATCGAATATCGCCTTGGAATACACCAACGCTCGCACGTGACTATCAACCTCCTGAAGATTGGCTGCATCGGTGTGGCACTACAAATTTTACCAGTTGACCTTGTTATTCTAGAACGCCACTAAGTGATCCAGAAATACGAACAAGGTCTGCTTCACTTGTACAGTGGTTCTGGTGGTGGTCAAAGTGGTATTTTGCCAAGTTCATTCATGTTCTGATTTTTCCTTCGGTTGTACTAGAGGACTTGTGGAGCGTACGGTGCTTATTTCGGAGTCGCGACAAATGGAAAGATAATAGCAGCTAGGTTGTACACAAAAACAGCTAGATTGCCGCGTACTCTAAATTTATTAGCTGATTTATCAAGGAACCAGTAAGTACTGCACCTGAAGAGTAACGAATTTAGAAATGTAACAAGTAGAAGATTGTTCGAAGACTTGCAGAATAGTAGGGAATCGAAGAAGCATTAAGTCTACATACGCTGATGAACGGTAACAGAGGCCCATCTACAGATCAGGTGTCATTGCGTAAAGAGAATATGCGTTTATTACTTGATATTACGGTTTCAGTCAGAAAACCATATCGATTGATGCAGTAGCACCAGTAAGTCGTACCGACGATTTGCTGCTCTGGAGGTTAGGGATACTGGGAAGTTGCCCGCAGGATCGGACCAGTGACCAGTGGACGCCTAAGCCAGACACATTCGCTCGGCCACCAGTCGATGCAGTGAGAGGTCCTCGAAAAATCTCCGATTCCATAAAAACAGTTAGAGGAAAGAACTCACACCTGTAGGAATTGCATATTCGCGTATGGCCCAGGTGAAACGAGAACGTGATGGGATTGGCGGCAAGTGTAAGGTAAAGCGACCTACGGCCGTTAGAAGGCCCTGGTGAAGCAACATACGCCGACTAGAACTATAAGATGCAACTGTCGTGTATAACTAAACTTCCTAAAGATACGAACTAGTATACCCAATGAACTGTTTCAACATGCTTCGTCGATGGGCTCGCGTGTCCCTAGGTGGACGGTTGGCATAAGGCGTCAGTCTTGTGACACACAGGTCCTCAGTCCGATGCTACGTAGGCACTGGCAACCCCGCAATATCTTTGGCATGTGCATGATTACTGCTGGTCACGTGGCGCCATAGCATCGGTAAGATGTATCAGTGTACTGCTGATGCCTACGTGCTTGCTTGTTGTTGCTTGAAAACTGAGTAAGGTGGAAGCGTGATCATAAAGTGTGCAGGATTGGCGCTTAGTGAACATGTCTTAATAACCGCTGTTTGCATCGACCATCAGACAGACAAAGGTGGAACAGTATCTACGACTTTAAGCTAGTAGCGTAACAATGGAAGCACACCATATAGACACGGGGGAATTTAAACAGATGAAACATGAGACAAGACTGAATAAATAGCAAACAGGAATGGGATAATCAGGTACGATACATCTGCGCGCGAGCGTACCGGTAGTGAGCATAGGCCTCATGTGAATAAGCGTAGACGTAGATCTTACCTCTGCATTCGGACAGCTGTTGCTCCAACGTGACGACAGCAGCTGTATAAAGGGAAAAGAGATTGATAATGATTAGGAAGGAAGAGAGAATCTAGTGGTTTGCGACATCAGAATTTAAACAAGATCAAAAACTAACTTACGCACAATATTCAATGGAGATAAGATCTAATGGAGCAAGAAGGAACCCCATTACAACAGATTAAACTAAATGCAGCTATTTTGTGCATTCACATCGGCAGCTTACACACAAGTTGTGGAATTGCTAAGTTGCATATAGAGACAAGTAACGTGCGGTTAATTGGCGAAAGTTAAGGCGAGCCAAGGTCAATGGGCACACGAGTGCTCCAAATGGAGGGAGACCAGCACTCACCTCACCACAGTAGAGCGAGACAGGTCATAAAATCTGTCCGTTTGCATAAACTCGGTCTCAGCCGCGAATCGTTGAGGCTTCGGAGAGATGTAACAGACAGGGGTCTCTTTGCTTGTCAATTACTCTCAACGATCCGCATGGGTTTTGGCAAACAGAGTGGTGGAGTATGTGACGAGCAATCGAGTTAGCAGGTAGCTTGGGGCCGTTCGCAAACACGTTAGGAGAAATGTGCTCTGTGATTCTCACAGCCATCTCTCAGTACGACTAATGTACTTGCTACAGCAAGTATAGTGAAACAGGTGGATACATGAAGCAGTAGTTTGGGAGACTGGTTCGTCCAGGTTGGAGTTGCACAGCAACCTGTTCATTTAGCGCAATAACACCAGTTCGGCGTAGAGCTTCTTGCGGGCAACCGCGCGAGTGACTTAGGCTATACTGGTGATAATGTCTTGCTCACTGATCCGTGTTGTAGTGCATCAGGCGCCAGAATTTCGAAATCTGCGCTCCAGATTCAAACCGATGTTACCGTCCATGTTTGGGATCCTCGGCAGTATCCTGGTACGTTCGCAACCTCCTTGCCGTTACACCTTGTTCCTCGCAGCATACCTGACTTAGCGACTACCGATACTCTCGTCAAATTTGTTTGAACAATCCTACAATTGAACAGGTCGTTATTGGATCTTATATTCATCTTGTAGAGGCTTAGCCACAACCCTTTCTACACTGGATGGAGCCACTCGTTGAGCCTAGCACAGTGATGAAGATATGCACCCGGCAGCCAGTAATAGAGGTGGTGGTTTCCAAAAAGTAAACACTTTGCCTCACTCTGAGGTTGATGTTGTGTCCATCATCATGTTTCTTCAGAGCAGTTGGACTAAACCGACTTACACTTGCACTTAAACTAAATCTTCTAAAACAGGATAAAAATATTCCACCTTACTTGATTTGCCCAGTTCTGTCGTTCTGCTATATAGTCCGTGTCAAAGGTACGTGTTTATTTTCTTTCCTATTCTGTGTTTCTTGTTTGATATCCCCGGGATGGCTGCGCTTGATATGAATGTTGATAACACCCTCCAGCTCGATTACTAACTAAAGGTGACTGCCAACCGTTGATGGGAGACGAGGTGCACGGCCCTCGTGACCGTGCTAGACTACAAGAGTGGCTCTCTGCATCCAGTGTGAAAATGACTGCGGTCTAGCCACAGCGCTGAGTATGTCTGGTGCGCATAAATCCCACATTAGATAGACAGGAAGGCAGAAGTGCTTATTGCAGACACTGTTTAAAGATAACTTCGTTGCATTACATGAGCAGGATACTTTCAGGTTAACCAAGTTTAGCCAGCAGAAATTTTGGGGTTTTCAACCATTCGGATTTTGGTGCTGGGCTATTAGGGTCCCGTTTATGGAGTGAGTAGTCCCCCTCACTCCAACCTCTAACCTGTATTCCCAGGAAACTGGGTTTGTTCGGCTTCTAGCCATTGAGTAATCTACTATGAGCGGCTATCAAGGTGCAAAAAAGCACATCCAGCATAGCATGGAAACCGTCGCCCCACGTCAAGTTATAATCTCGTCACGATAGATAATTTTCTGAACCGCATCCCCAAGCGATTCCAGCCTGGTCTCCTTAGCTTCTATATACTGGAACATCTTACTGCTGCCGGCATAGTTTACTTCCATATACGTTGAAGGCCCAGCGGCATTTCGCGTCCGGTCTTTACGACCCAAGGTTTCCGATGAGGTTCTCTGAGTTAATCCTGCTTCATATGTTTTAGTGCTATTGAATAATGTTGAAACCTAGTTTCCATCACAACGACTCGACCTTACCATTCTTCAATGGTTTGCGTACCTCTCCGACCCACGAGCTATACTGGGTGGTGCTCCCAAGTTCTATGAGGGCTACTCCCAACCAGTTTGGTCAATGGTTAGAAATCAGCGGTACTCAGTCTCTTGCTCCGCTGATTGGATGTGGCCACATCCCCTGTGCTTTTTAAACAGGCATTTGAGCCAAAGGCTTTGGTTGAGAACCCTAATCGTTCTTCTCTCTAGGTTTGGGCATTCTAGCAAGATCTCAGCCCAAGATTAACCACGAATTTTTCTCAGCATTCAATCACATCCTGCACCTGCCGTCGCGTAGCTTTACAAGGGTCACCTTATCTGCTGCATACAGCAGAGCGGATAAACAAAGATATGGTATTGGTGGTGACTCCTTTCAGTCTATTCCAACTGTTTCTTTTACTCTCCGACCCATATTACTAACCTTCATTCTTAACTTTCCAGCTTAATTGACAGCTGCCACAGTACCAATGTAGTTCTACCTTCTGTAACTATCTTCCCGCACCACTCACTGAAGAATTAATCGCTCACAGCCCCTTGCAAAACCGCGTTGTCCCGCTTCCCTGGCGAAGTTCAACGTTTACACGCTAAGACAAATAGCTCTACAAACTTCATTAGCACGCACGTTATATATCCGGAGTATTGACATGTGTTACCTGTCCGAAACTAGGATCAATGATCACGTGTTATCGAATTAAATGCGCCCGGCTTATCTTCTCGCTATTGATTACCCACGTCCAGAGTGGCTGATGTGACAATCACTGGGAAACCTGAGCTACGCATCCTTCTCAGCTCCAAGGCTGAATCTTCCCTGGTTGACGGGATTCCCTGAACAGCCGTTTGTGTGTAGCCCGTATGACGAATCACCTAAAGTTGATTCACGAAGTAGTACAAGACGCTGCTTGTTTCTGTTTTCCACTTGTGCCACCACCATCTGCAATTCTGGTGCGGCTAGGGACACTTTCTACCACGAACAGGTATCGATATTGTTGCGGGGTATATGAATGAATATGAGCTTTTCAGAAGCTCAGCTAAATGGTAAAAGTGGATTTAACCGATTGAATGGATAACGGCGAGTGTCTGATGCACCTGTGCACGAAGTACCGACTGTTTCTTAGTAGTATTATTTTAGACACATTCAGCGCCGAAATGCCACTTGGCGTCCATCTAAAGCTAGCCAGCGATGGGCCCAACTAGATCACGCTACCATAAGATACAGGTGGCGTGGTTCCATCCCGGATTGTCGATCGTACTGGAATACTTACATGGACCCTGAGCAAGCTTTAGTATGCTTTCCTTTTGCATGGACCTTTCCGGGAGGCGTACCCAGCGTCTCCCACCATTGACAACTGAGAACTTATCCCAGTCTTCAGGTAAGGCAAGTCTACCAGGGTGTCCTGCGCATCGAACTTCCGCTTCATCTTCTGCATGATATTGGGCTACTGTTGAATGAAATCTCGGTCCCTTAGCACGAGGTGGGAGCTTCTGTTTGCGGTACTATCAATCGTCACGGCGTCAGCCATTGTTGGAGTCCAGAAGAAAACTCCGCGCTGGCTCTGCGCGCAATGTATCCAGACGCATTTTTAGGCACCAGCTACAGCAAACTTTGCGTGCTGATAAAAAAGCCTGGCGGATCAGTAGGGTTTATCAAATGACGATGGGAACAGTAGGCAGTTATGACAAGCTCTTCCAAATGATCCGAACCACTGGTCCTGGGAAACCAGGTGTCAGTGAGACAATCAGGGACAACGCGGGTGCACTGATTCGTAATATGGAGCGCCGGTTGGCTCGTTGGGCGGACCACTTTCAAGATCGATTCACTTGGTCCCCTGAATCCGGACCTTTTCCTACTCATATGACGCAGGATGTGCCATGGTGGGTTAGTTTAGTGGCTCCATCTGAAGCTGCGGTCCGAAACGCAATCGTAATTTTTGAGCTGCTGATCCGGGTTTCTTTGAACGCGCACTATTTAAGGATGGTGTTGGGGTCGTCTGAAATGTCCTGACCCCTCTGTCCAGACAGGTTTACAAAGAAGGTACTATCCAAACTAACTGGTGTGAATCGATTATAGTGGTGATATACAAGAAGGACAGTGACTATGCTAACCATAAGGCTATTAGCCTAACGCCGATGCTGACTAAATTACTAACATCAATGCTCATTCGTCGCCTCACTGCGGAATTAGAATCCCGGGTTACGGAAGAGCAGGCAGGTTTCCACCCAGAACGGGGCTATATGGACCTTATATTCACTCTGCCGCGGGTGCTACAGCAACGCCACACGTACCGCAGACCGACAATAGCTGTGGTTCTATTCTTTAAGCGTGTGTTCGACTCAGCCGCTTGATTCATTCTGTGCTGAATGCTTGCACGGAAAGGTGTTCCCATGTGAGAGCTTTACCTGCTCTGTACTCGAACACTGCGGGCCGCGTCATGGTCTGCGGTGACTTATCGGATAACATCCCGACAACGACTGGTCTTCATCAGGGTTGCGCAATTTCCCCATTTTCGTTCGGCTACCTTGTTCACTCTCTCATGTAGTGTTCCCACACGACGTAAGCGTTGATGTGCTGTTCTGTAGATATCTAGTTAGTCTAGATTATGCGGACAATATTGTCTTGTTGTTTAACAATGCTTGCGTGACCGAGTCGACCATGAATAACCCATCTAGATTGGTCCCATCATTTGACATGTGCTTTGCACCATCAAAGTGCAGTGGTGTTGCAGGACCACCAGCCACTTGACGAAGAACTGGAGGTATTTGATCACTTCACCCACTTTGGCAGCTGTATCAGTAACGGCAGGCGCATAGCAGCTGAAGTTAGTTCACACATTGCAAA